AACACTGCAAACTGTCATTTGTCCAGATGGTCTAAAGATGTCCAGATTATTGAAAACCTTCCATATGTTTCTTTTCAGGGAGAGAGAAATATTTGATGAAGAAATCCAGCAAAGGCAAAAGTGCAAGGCCAAGCCTCAGCCTGCTGAGAGCTGAGGAGTGGCACCAGCTGCCCCAGAATTACATAGGGAAAATAAGAAACACAGAGGTTTTGGAATGGGATCGAGCCATTTTCAATGAGATTGATTCACTTTGAGGTGACAAACTGATCCCTCTTGACTTCTGGGATGCAGAGCTGGGAGAGACTGGAATGTTAATGGTCCATGGCTCCAACACTCTCCAGTTGCAGAAGCAGTGGGGGCTTTGCTGCCCATGGGCAAAGGAACCGCCCGGGGAATGGGGGGTTAATGGGGCTGGGGGGGGAGAGGAGGGGCTGCACCATGAGCAGGTGAGTCCAGAGACCCCCCTGGAGACCCCAAGACCCTCTTGGTGTCCCCAACTCCCCCCTTGACACCCCGAGACCCCCCTGGTGTCTCCAATGTCCCCAGGGCCTCCCCATGGCCCCAATCCCCCCTTGACACCCCCAATTCCACTGTCCCCAAACCCCTCCCCACTGTCCCCACTGTCCCCAAACCCTATTCCTGATGTGCCCAACCCTCCATCTCACCCCAGGAGCCCCCCCTGGACCCTCTCACCACAAAAACACCCCTCCTTCCCCCCATGCTCACAGAAAGGCCAAGGGCATTTGGGGACACGTTGGGGACAGTTGGGGGGCTTTGCAGGGCACTGGGTCATTACTGGGGGATACTGAGACACATGGGGGGGAACCAGGGGGCACTGGGAGGGACTGGGGGGGGAACTGGGGCACACTGGGGGACACTGGCAGATGACTGAGGAGTTCCTGGGGGATTACCAGGACACACAAGGGGACACTGGGAGGTTACTGAGCCATACTGGAGGTTACTGGGTGCTTACTGGAGGATCATTGGGCCATACTGGGAGGCAGTGGGAGGTCACTGGGATGCTCTGGCTGGTCACTGAGGGGGTTGCTGGGCTGTACTGAGGGTCACTGGGAGGTCCCTGGGCTATACTGGTGGCACTGGGATCCCCTTACCCGGATGTGGTACATCTCGCCTCTGGACTTTGGGGGGCACCACCAGGCCCCCTCCCCTGGGGGCTGGGGGACCCCCTGAACCCCATTGCTGAACCTTCCCTGTAGGATCTCTTTGTGCTGAGTTTTGCGGTCTCTGGAGTTCAGGGCGGGCATCAGGATCCCCTTTCCCTGAGGTCGGTCCGCCGGGCCGGCAGGGGCGCTGTGGCCCGAAAAGAAATGGCGGGTCCAGCACATGACGTGGGGCCTCATGGGAGTTGTAGTTCTTTTCTGAGCTCTCCGCTGGCACGCCTGCGCAGTGCAGCCAGGGCGTTGGAAAAGCCCCCGAGCGAGTTCCTGCGCTCTGCCCCCACAGCAGGTTGGGAGCTCAGGGGGTAACCCCGGACCCCCCTTTCCCACCCTCCTCTGTCCCAAAACTGCTGCAGCACCCGCTGCTGGGTGGGGGGAGTCCCCCCATCAGCCCCCAGGGTTGGGGATCTGTGGAGAATCCTGACCAGAGCAAACACAGAAAGGGTCACATAAGCAATGGACATTCCCAGTGTGGATCTGCCCCCTCCCAGAGCCCCAGGGAACCGCTCCAGGGCTCTGTCCCACTGTCCAACACCCATCTCCCATCTCCCACCCCTTTCCCATCATCCCCACAGTCCTCAGTTCCCTCCCCCAGCTCGGTTTGGGGCTGTTTCTTCCCCTCTGCCCTGCTCGGTTTCAGAGTCTCAACTCCTTCCCCGCTCAGTTTGGAGGTCCCAGCCCCCCCTTTTCTCCCGTTCTCCCCCCCTTTTTCCACTGTCCCCTGAAAGAGAGCTGTTAAATATTTTGTGCTGAAAAAGCTGCTAAATCGTGTCCATTCCAAATTAAGCCTGGATTTATTAGCATGGACTGGCATCCAAATGGCAGCAAGAATAGTCTTCTAATTCTCTTCTTTTAATCCTCTCTGCAGTCGCCGGTTTTCCCCTCTAAGCGGGCAGGAAAACAGGAACAGCCCTGGTGTGGTCGGGGAGCAGAGCTGACCCCAAAGGGCTGCATTTCCCCTGCCGATCGTCCTGCTCTGCCCTCCCCCGGGGCTGGCTCTGCCTGGCGCTGGCCGGACGTCCCGGGGCTCCTCACTGAGCAAACCCCTTCCCAAACTTCAGGGGCAAGTGCAGAGCCCGGCTGGCCTGAGAGGAAGCGACAGCAGCGCGGGCCGAGCGGGTGGGATGGGGTCCGAGCAGCGGCGGGAAGTTGCAAACTTGCCAGCAAAGAAGTCAAACTAAAGTGAAGCAGCTAAAAAAGCCCGTGGTCTTGGCATGGGTGCGGGAGGAAGGGGAGCTCCGTGACTCCAGCCGGGGCTGCCCCCGGGGCGCGCGGGGGCCAACGGGGAACGGACAAACGGACAAACGGACGAACGGACCAACGGCCCCGGCGCTTCGGCAGCAGCAGCGGCGGCAGCAGCAGCGGCTCTTAGCGACGCGCTCTCGTTCTTCCTCTTGCTCTTCTTCCTCCTCTCCCGGTGTCCCTGTCCCAGTGTCCCTGTCCCGGTGTCCCTGTCCCGTTCCCGGTCCCCCCTCCCCTTGCCGGCCCGGGCCATGGCCCCGGCCATTCCCCTCTGCCGGGCGGGGCCGCCCCGTCCCCGTTCCTGGGCGGCCCGGCGCGGTCCCGCCCTCGCCCGGCTCCCGGCGCGCCGGCTGTGGCGCTGCTGGGCACTGCTGTGGGGCGGGCTGTGGGACGGGCTGTGGGACGGGCTGTGGGACGGGCTGTGGGGCGGGCTGTGGGGTTGGCTGTGGGGCGGGCTGTGGGGTTGGCTGTGGGACGGGCATTGGGACGGGCTGTGGGACGGGCTCGGCCTCACCGCCCCTTGGCTCCTCCCGGCTCGAGCCCGGCGCCTGCCGGGGCCGGCGGGGGACGCGGGCGCCGCGGCCGCTGCCGCCTCCTCGGCGGCTTCCCCGGGCAGAGCTCCGCCGCCGCTGCCCGCTGCGGGTGGGGAAGCCCGGCCCGGGCCGCTCGAGGGGCGCTCGGGGGCCGTGCCGGGCCCCGGCCCGAACGCTGACGGCCACGTCTCGCCCGCACGGAAGGCGAAGGGGCCCCTGCAGAAGCGCTACCGGCTGGGTTCGCTGCTGGGCAGCGGCGGCTTCGGCCGCGTCTACGCGGGGACCCGCCTGGCGGACGGAGCCCCGGAGAGTGGAGGAGGAGGAGGAAGAGGAGAAGGAGGAGGAGGAACAGGAGGAGGAGGAGGAGGAGGAGGAGGAGAAGAGCGGGACGGGCGGCGAGCTCAACCCGCCCTTCCCCTTGGCTTGCAGGTGGCCATCAAAGCCGTGCCCCGGGATCTCATCCGGCGCTGGGGCGAGCTGGTGAGCGAGCGGGGCCAGCGGGAGAAAGCGGGGCGGGACGGGCGGGGACGAGCCGAGGCCCGGGAGGGTGGAAGCTGCCGGGACACCTGGAGGGAGAGTGGGCCTGGGGTCGGTGGGGGCCGGGGAGCATCCAGGGCTGGCAGAGGGGTAGCAGGCAGACAGGCACGGCATCAGCCCCACTGACGACCCCGTGGTCCCCCCGCAGCCTGACGGCACCCTGGCACCCCTGGAGATCGTGCTGCTGGACAAGGTGTCCAAGGGCTTTCCTGGTGTCATCCAGCTCCTGGAGTGGTTCGAGCTCCCCAACAGTTTCTTGTTGGTGATGGAGCGTCCGGAGCGCTCTCGGGACCTCTCTGGCTTAATCACGGCGTGGGGGTTCCTGCCGGAGGAGGTGGCGTGGGGGCTGTTCCACCAGGTGCTGAAGGCCGTGCGGCACTGCACCAGCTGCGGCGTCCTGCACCGGGACATCAAGCCCCAGAACATCCTCCTCGACCTGGCCACCGGCGAGGCCAAGCTCCTGGACTTTGGATGTGCCACCTTCCTTCAGGACACGGTCTACACCCAGTTTGCAGGTGAGCCCACAGCCGGGGGATGCTCCTGGTGCTGGGTATGGCATGGCCATGCCCGGGTGTGGCACCGGAGATTGCCCCTTTTGCTGAGGGGGAACAGGATTAGTTCTTCAGCCAATTTGCTTTGGGATGGGGCTGGGGGGTTATTGTGAGACGGGCCCCGGCCTTGCCGACAGCCTGTGCCACCCACCCTGTCCTGGGCTGGGTGTGGGGCAGGGGGGAGCCAGCCTGACCAAAACCCCTGTGAGGGTGGCAGAGAAGGGGGTCAGAATTGTGCACCAGCTGGCTTGGTGTGCAGGCAAGGAAGGGCTTGGGCTGCTCTGCTCACCTTGTTTGCCTTGGCTTATGATGAATTGTTGGGGGTAGTGCAGTGGGGCAGGGAGAAGGCAGGGCTTTTCCCCACCACTGGCTGGGTTTTTCCCTTGCATGTAATGGTTGGGCCTTGCCAGGGCTTCTGCTGCCCTCTTGGACACCAGTGTCTTCTTCTACAACCCCACGTTTGTAACCAAGAGTCAGGGGCCAGTGAGAAGGCAGTGGGTCACAGCGTGTGCCACTGGGGCAGGCCCCACATTGCCAGGGATGCTGGGGTGAGGCTCTGGGAGCAGGCAGCATCCACCTGACGAACTCCGTCTGTATTCCGTAGGAACACCGTCATACAGCCCGCCAGAGTGGATCTGCTTCAAACGCTACCGCGGCGAGGCGGCAACGATCTGGTCCCTGGGCATCCTGCTCTACCAGATGGTCTGCGGGAAGCACCCTTTCTGCAAAGGCACCAACACCATCTGGGACCAGCTCCCGTTCCCACCACGGGTCTCTCGAGGTGGATACCAATCTCTGTGGCACGGGGGGAATAACAGTGTTGGGAGAGGGCAGCAGGCTCACAAGGACACCGCTCTTGAAGCTGTTTGTGTCCCATGGGTGGCTGGAGGAGGTGGCCTGTGTCCTGCCATCCTGCTCTCCTCCAAAAGGGAGAATCGATGGAGAAGTTTGGGCACAGCTCTGAGCACAGCCAGCACAGCCTGGGCACGTGGACAGTGGGACAGAGGGGACAGGATCCTTCTCCAACTGACCGGCCATTTTCCCCCCAGGCTGCCAGCACCTTATCAGGTGGTGTTTGTCCATCCGCCCCTCGGACAGGCCAGCATTGGAAGACCTTTGGTGCCATCCTTGGGTGCAGGGCATTCCCCTGCCCTAGAAGACGGGAGAGATCCACGTGCTCACTTTGATCCAGGGGCCTGGCAAGTAACACCTCCACACATCTCTTGGCACTAAGAAGCAAATAAAACCAGACTTTTTTGTCAGCCTGTAGCACTGAGGGGGGGTCATCCCATGGGAACACGCCCCTCTTTGTGCTGGAGCTGGGCTGCAGACCCGGTCTTCCAAGTGCTGGTGGCCACCATCCAACCTGGTTTTGCTGGT